CAACTCATTCCACCAGGCGGGGGCCAGGGCATTTAATATGTTTAAATGTCTCCCTGGTCTCTCCAGCCTTCTCCAGTTGGCCCGCGACCACAAGCCAGCTGAAGAAGGGAAGGGGCGGCATGTTGAAATGCCTCCCTGAACGTTTCATCCTTTCCCAGCTTGGCCACAGTGACAGGCCAGCTGCAGAAGGGAGGAAAGATCGGGGAGGCGTTTAACCCACCCCCGGAGTCGCCCCGCAGCTGGGCACACTCCCTTCATTGAAGGGAATGTGCTGCCACCATGGTGTGACTCCAGAGAAGAGGGGGTTAAACTTTAAACCCTCTCAATGACGGGAGCTGGCAGCCTCAGGGTGCAACTCCAGAAGGGGGAGATATCATTGTACCCTCTGGCAGGGGTGGCCAAACTTGCTTAACCTAACAGCCACACAGAATAAACGTCAGATGTTCGAGAGCCGCGAGACATGAACAGCTATCACACACACGTTCTTATTGGAAAATATGCAAATCTGTTTTTTGTTAACATTAAATGAGACGGCGTGAAAGAGCTGCATGTGGCTCCCGAGCTGCAGTTTGGGCACCCCTGCACTATGGGGATGGTCCTCATAGGGGATAATTGAGCCAAATAAATTCGCCAATGCCGATCATTTCCAGAACCCCAGTGTCATACTGATCCCGGGATTTCGGAATATTGGCAAATACCAATATTTTGGTGGTCTGGTATATTTGAACCCAAAAAATACTGATTTTTTTGTGTGTGTATGTGTGTGTATGTGTGTGTGTGTGTGCACCCCTTAGCCCCGGATGAGCCGGTTCTGGCCCCTGTTTATGTTTGACACCCTTGACTTACACTCAGCAGCCCACCTTTCATGCAGAACTGTGGGTTCCAGCATTGTGTAGTGTTAGAGACTGGGTTCTGGGAGACCTAGGTTCGAATGCCCCCTTCTGCCATGGAAACTTGCTGGGGTGACCTTGGGCCAGTCAGAGACTTTCAGTCTACCCTACCTCGCAGGGTTGTCAGGAGGATAAAATGGAGAATGGGAGAATGTTGTAAGCCACTTTGGGTTCCCATTGGTGATAAAGGAGGAGAAAGAACGAACGAACGAACGAACGAAAGAAAGAAAGAAAGAAAGACCCTATGTGCAACCAGCAAGGCATTGACAGGGAAATGGGAGACCACCCAGAAAGTCCAGTGTCACTATGCAGAGACAGGCAATCACATCAGATCTCCCAAGCTAAGCTGGGTCAGTCCTGGTTAGTATTTGGATGGGAGACCACCAAGGAAGTCCAGGGTCACTATGCAGAGGCAGGCAATGACAGACCAAATCTGCCCTGATCTGGATGGCCCAGGTGACCTCGATCTCATCACATCTCAGAAACTAAGCAGGGTCAGCCCCAGTTAGTATTTGGGTGGGAGCCCAACAAGGAAGTCCAGGGTCGCTACATGCAGGCAGGCCATGGCCAACCGCCTCTGTTCCTCTCTTGCCTTGAAAACCCTGCAGGGTTGCCATGAGTCAGCTGCGACTTGATGGCACTTTTGATTATGCATTTGGAGTTAGGTATGTGTGCTCGGTCTATAACGAGCTGAATAAATACAAAAAAAAAGTCCTTATCAGTATTAAACTTTAAATACCTTCCCTTCACTGGGGAGCTGTGCTGCAGAGGTGACAGAAGCCAGAGAAGGAAGGGAAGGTATTTAAAATACCTTCCCTTCCCTTCCCTCGCCGAGTCATGTCTTGGCGCAGTGTGGTGGGTGAAATTCTTTATTATACCCTATGGGGACAGTTCCCTTAGGGTATAATAGAACTCAATATATTCGGGTTTTCTGAATATTCAGGTTTCCCAAATATTGATCCGAATACCAGTGAAATGCCGATACTGGTATTCGGATATATTCGGGAGTATGAATATTTTCAGGTCCAACAGACCCGAATCTGAAATAACCCGAATATTTCTTTTTGCACACCCCTATTTGGAGTCTACATGCCTAGGGTTCAATCCATCATCCAAAGAGAACGAAAGTTCTGTATATCCGATTCCTCCAGACATGCTGCTGTACATGTGTGGATCACCTATACAAAACTACTGCTTCAGTTCCCACTCTTCAGAAATGTATTCAAGTAGTCCAGTTGATACCACAGTGTTGACACAAGACACATGTTTGTACACCACAAGTAAAGTTCAACCCATAGCCTATCTATGCATGTTAGAACCAACACCACACACTTTTCCGGTCACAGCCCTGGCTCTTCGGCTTGGAAACGGAGATGAGCACCGCAACCCTAGAGTCGGACTCGACTGGCTTTCGAGCAAGGGAACCTTTACCTTTACCTTTATTTGGAGTCTACATACCTAGGGTTTAATCCATCATCCAAAGAGAATGAAAGTTCTGTATATCCGATTCCTCCAGACATGCTGCTGTACATGTGTGGATCACCTATACAAAACTACTGCTTCAGTTCCCACTCTTCAGAAATGTATTCAAGTAGTCCAGTTGATACGCATGTTTGTACATCACAAGTAAAGTTCAAGGCGTAGCCTATCTATGCATGTTAGAACCAACACCACATAAAATTCCGGTCGCAGCCAGTGTACCCCCAAACTGCTTCTTCAACTCTCTCAGAATGGGGATTTGGTGTTTGAGGAAGATTTTCAAAAGGGGAAACGGCAGCAGCTTTAAACTTTTCAATCCACTCTAGTAGTAAATTAGAAAAATCACTCAAAGGAGATGTTCTCTGGGGGAATGTCTGAAGCGGATCTGTGTGGAAGAAACTATACAGGCGAGCGGCACGTGTTCCATACAATGGCAAAATATAAACATGTAAATGTTCAAAAGCTGGATAAATTCCATACGTGGCTCTGTTTGCTACTGTTTGTTGATCAGCGGATTGAGAGGCCTGATTTGTGGGCCGGAAATAATTGACGAAGGCTACGCTGAGGTGGGAAAAGTCAATTCCAAAGTAAATGGCTGTGTGGTACCTTTTGTCTCCCCAATTAACCTCTGATTGAAATTCATTTACAAAACAAGCTGCTTGGTTTGATTGAGAGAGGGGGGAAATATCCAGTGTACCAAGTACAAAACGCTGGGGGTAGAAGATGGACTTGGCAACCCTAACCAAGCTGCTTCTCAACAAATAGATGGCTAAGGGAAAGTGACATGAGAAAGGTTTATAAAACAATGCACGGGGTGAAGAGAGTGGACAAAGAGGACTTTTTCTCCCTCGCCCCAAAAGGCTAGAATTCGAGGGCATCCAATGAAGCTGATGGGCAGTAGGTTCAAGGCAGACAAAAGAAAGACTACTTTACACAGAAGGCGAGTCAAATGTGGGATTGGCTGCCGGAGGATGTATCGATGGCCACAGGAATAAACGGCTTGAAAGTGGATTAGATAGATTTATAGAGGATGTCTAAGCTTGCCAATCCCCAGCTGGGCATTAACAAAGCAAAGCAGGAGATACACAGTAAATAGTAAACCCAATAAACAACTGTGTAGGAAATGGACCGTGGGTCTGATCCAGCAGGGCTCTTCTGACGTTCATATAGATAGATTCATGGATGATAAGTCTATCAGTGGCTACTAGCCATGGTGACTGAGGGGAACCTCCACATTCAGAGGCACTAATCCTCTGAATCCCAGAGCCAGGAGGGAACATCAGGGGAAGGCCTTGGCCTCTATGGCCTGTTATTGGCCTTCCAGAGGAACTGGTTGGCCACTGTGTGAGACGGGATGCTGGACTAGATGGACCCGCACTCATCTGATCCAGCAGGGTTTTTTAAATGTTCTTATTAGGGGAAGGCCTTGGCCTCTCTGCCCTGTTGTTGGCCCTCCAGAGGAACTGGTTGGCCACTCTGTGAGACAGTGTGCTGGACCAGATGGACTGATCCAGCAGGGCTCTTCTTAGGTTCCACTGGCACAACCATGCTTTACAGGCAATCTGCAGGTCAACAAGTTTTAATTAATTAATTTATTTATTTATTGGGTTTCTATCCCGCCCTCCCCGCGAACAGGCTCAGGGCGGCTTACATTTAAAGGCACTATGTGCCAGAGTACATAAAACCTATAAAACTAGATAGAACAACCATAGCATTACAATTAAAGTGCTCAACATAGGCCCTGTTCATACAAGGGGTTTTGGGCCGGGAGCGAGACAGAACGGAGGCGGATCAAACGGGCACGATCCCACGGCAACATCTGGGAATCGTTGCCTGCCCGTCTCCGATCCGTCCCTCCTGGCCGAAAACCCGCACCAAAAAGAACCACCTAACCTGGGGTGGTTCTTCTGTTCGAAGCACCTCAAGCCGGCCGTGGGATCGGCCGGCCGGCCTTGTGCCGGCACATCCCGGCCCCCGGCCGAACTGCGCATGCTCGAGCATGCAAAGTTCGGCAGCCTCCCCCTCCCCCTCGCCTCTTCCTCCCCGCTATCTGATCGTGCCGGGGATCCCGCCGCGGCGTTTCTTTTTTGGCGCGCCTTTTAAAAGCCGCGCTTCTCCTCGTTTTTTTCCCTGCCGTGTGCCAGGGGCCATAGAAATGATCTTCCAATCACACTGAAGATGGCATCCTGTCGATGGACACAAGTCCCAATTCAGCTGTATCTGTCTCATACGTTATTGTGGCTCGGTCTCCATATGTGCCAACCAACTACCCCGGTGTTACTAACAATAATTGTTGGTGGTAGTGGTGGGCGGCTCCTAACTAAAAGCCTGGCGGAAAAGCTCCATCTTGCAGGCCCTTTAGAACTGTACAAGGTCCCGCAGGGCCCTGATCTCCTCCGGGAGCTCATTCCACCAGGTAGAGGCCGCCACCGAAAAGGCCCTGGCCTTGGTAGCGGTGAGCCTGGCCTCTTTGGGGCCTGGAATCACTAGCCAGTGTTGCACCCCCAGACTGTAGTGCTCTCTAGGGTATGTCTGGGGAAAGGCGGTCCCTCAGTTATGTTGGACCCAAATTATCTTCCACGACCATTCAATCATCGCAGTAAAATGACAAAAGAATGTTAAAACCTTTACCTTGTTGACCCCATCTGCCATGGCTTGTAAGGTGAGTTCTCTTGGTCCATCCACAGTCTTACCATTGTCAGTGGGGCCCCAGCTGGCACTGTATATATCTATGACTTGGGGCATGTGACTGATGGAAGAAGCTTCAATGATGTCTGTCATAAAGGGCTGATCCAGCATCCGGATACCTGCAGAATGAATCAACAACAGAGGCAGAAAACAAAATGAAAAACAAAATTTGCTGGTGGATGTCCCCTCTACGCCTTCTCTTTCTCAGGCTAAACATAGCCAACTCTTTAAGCCTTTCCTCGTAAGACTTGGATTCCAACCCTCTCACCATCCTGGTTGCCCTCTTCTGGACATGCTCGAGCTTGTCAACATCCTTCCTGAAATGTGGTGCCCAAAACTGGACACAGGACTCTAGGTGAAGCCTGACCATAGCAGAATAGCTTTTACGTAGCTGGTCAATGACCATACTAATAAATTTATTGATTGATTGATTGATAGCAGAATAGAGTGGAACTACCACCTCCCATGATCTGGACACAATGCTTCTGTTAATGCATCCTAAGATGGCATTAGCTTGCTTCGCAGTCACATTGCACTGCATACTTATGTTTAGCTCGTGATCAACCGGAACACCCAGATCCCTTTCACATGTGCTGCTGTCAAGCCAAGTCCCTCCCGTTCTATATGTGTCTTTGATTTTTTTGTACCTAACTGTAGGACTTTGCACTTCTCTCTTTTGAAATTCATTTTATTTGTCTCAGCCCACTGTTCCAGCCTGTCTAGATCATTTTGAATCTGTCTTCTTCAGAATTAACAATCCCACCCATCTGAAAATCTGATAAGCATCCCCTCTATGTCTTCCTCCAGGTCATTTATAAAAACATTGAACACCACCGGGCCCATGACCGAGCCCTGTGGCACTCCACTCGAGACTTCCCTCCACGTAGACGCAGAGCCATTTACGAGCACTCGTTGGGTACGATTTTTCAACCAACCATGAATCCACCCAACGGTTTCACCATCCAGCCCACACTTAGCCAGCTTATCCTCAAGGATATCATGAGAAACTTTGTCAAATGCTTTACTGAAATCGAGATACACTATATCCACAGCATTGCCAGAGTCAAACATTTTAGTAACTCTGTCAAAAAAGGAGATACGGTTGGTCTGGCATGACTTATTCTTGATAAACCCATGCTGGCTACTACCAATTAACTCATTCCATTCGAGGTGCTCACAGACAGAGCGTTTAATAATCTGCTCTAGAATTTTCCCAGGGATTGATGTCAAACTGACAGAGACTGACGGAGACTCCTTTCTCTCCAATTTCCTCTGGCCACTTGATGGCACTACAGGCCTCGATAACAGCCCCAAGTTTTTAATTGTTGACCATACCTGGAGTTATACGAGTCCCAAAAGAGCGGCAACATTTAACATAGCACACACTACCAACTTTTTTAAGGATAGGGAGGGGAGGGGAGGAGAAGGTCTTGGTATTGTACTTCAAAAAACCATCTCTGTTCTAGATAAGGTCTTTTTGAAGGAGGGTTGTTGGAGTCCTAACAATTTCTGTCAGGTTCCACAGCAAGTAACTCTCCACACACGTTTCCTAAGAAGCGTTATGCTTTATTAGAGTACAAAACTGGTACCATATCCACAGGATTATTGTTAGGAATGACCAGGGCTATTTTTGGGCAGGAACGCACAGGAACGGAGTTCCGGCTGGCTCCCGAGTTGGCCACGCCCAGCAGGAACTCATTAGTATAATAGGCCACACCCAAAAGCAGAAACTCATTAGGATTGGCTACGTTAAGGGTGTGTGGCCTAACATGCAAAGGAGTTCCTGCTACAAAAAAGCCCTGGGCTTTGACAACATACAAGGTAAACAGAATAACAAGCAAAAGGTGGGTGTGGCTGGATGACCAGACCTGATAACATGGGGGTGTGGCCTAATGTGCTAATGAGCTGTGCTGTTGGGGGTGTGGCTTAATATGCTAATGAGTTCCTGCTGTTGGGTGTGGCCTATTATGCTAATGACTTCCTGCTGGGCTTTTTCTACAAAAAGAGCCCTGGCGAATGACTATGGGGCAGAAACATCCCTACATATAGCAGGACGAGGCAATTGGCTAAGCAAATGAACTCCAAGCGCGCACGCGGGAATTCTCCTGGCGGGAGATTACATAATGAGCAGGAGGCTCGCAGGGTCTCACGAGAGCAGTCAGATTCACACCCGAGGTGGAACGCAAGCCCTCCCTTCCTCAGAAGGCATGACAGATAGCGCCATCTGGCAGAACTGGCTCCCGCGGTCTCCCAAGCAATGTTCACTGCAAGCGGCTGAGCTGCGAGCAAGCAGGGGCAGGGAGGGAAACCAGCAAAACAGGGCAGCTAGCTGACCCCTGCCAGGGATTTGATATTAAAACGACTGAGTTATTTTAGATACAAATCAAGATGGGTCACCGTGTTAGTCTGTCTGTGGCAGTAGACGAGAACCAGAGTCCAGTCAGCACCCGAGATATTGATCCCCTGCTTGACCCTTACCTGCCACCTTTGAATTATAGGCCACTCCGACTCCACAGATGTTGTTGTTTGCTGCAGCAGAGACTTCTCCAGCGCACCGGGTTCCATGACTGCGGAGAACATAAGAACATAAGAGACGCCAATGTTGGATCAGGCCAAAGGCCCATCTAGTCCAACACTCTGTATCACACAGTGGCCAGAAATACCAGGTGCCATCAGGAGGTCCACCAGTGGGGCCAGGACATTAGAAGCCCTCCCACTGTTGCCCCCCCACCCCCCAAGCACCAAGAAGACAGAGCATCACTTGCCCCAGAGCCCCTATCTATACCTTGTGGCTAATAGCCACTGATGGATCTCTGCTCCATATGCTTATCTAATTCCCTTTTGAAGCCATCCCTGCTTGTAGCTGCCGCCACTTCCTGTGGCAGTGAGTTCCATGTGTTAATCACTCTTTGGGTGAAGAAGGACTTCCTTTTATCCGTTCTAACCCGACCGCTCAGCAATTTCAGGGAGTGCCCACAAGTTCTTGTATTGTGAGAAAGGGAAAAAAGGACTTCTTTCTCTATCTGCTCCATCCCAGGCATAGTCTAATAAACCTCGATCATGTCACCCCTCGGTCGTCGTTTCTCTAAGCTAAAGAGCCCCGAGCGCTTTAACCTTTCCTCATAGGGAAAGTGTTCCAACCCTTTTATCAAGGATTCCATCTCAAACTTCACATGAGCATCAGTATTCCAAGAATCACCCAAGCCTTTACATTGTTGATGGGATGTAGTCAAGAGTCAGGCAGGACTGCAATCCACTCTCTTGACAGAGGCCAGGATCCATAGAATAGCTCAGGGGTCTCCAACGCAGTGCCCGTGGGGCACCAGGGTGCCAGCCAGCAGCTATCCTGCGGCCCACCAAGTAGTTTTAGAAAGTGGGCGGGGGCCACGTGGGGCTCTTGCCCAGCGGGGCCCCTGATTGGCCACTGGAGACCAGATCGGCTATGCAGATTAAAATAATGTTTCAGCTGGAGCTGCCACCTCAGTGTTGGTTTCATTCGCTCTCGCTACTCTTTCCTATTGTCTCTTTAAACCACCGCTTGGGCTTCCTGTGTGTGTGTAGCTCCACCTCCCGTGGCAGCCATTTTGTAGTTGTGCTCACCACCCTGTGACAGAATCCCAAAGGTGCCCATAAGCTCAAAAAGGTCAGGGACCCCTGGAGTACCCCTATCAGGACCACGTGCTCAAAAGAGACTTTGGCCATGAGATCCTGGAATAAAGGCCTCCCATGGTGCACAGGAAACCTCTTTTGAAATGTGTCTTTCAAAAACAGATTGTCCTACAGTATGAGGAATAAGAAGAAGAAGAGGAAAAAGAGGAGGAGGAGATTGGATTTATATCCCGCCCTTCACTCAGAGTCTCAGAGCACTTTACAAACTCCTTTCCCTTCCCCTCCCCACAACAGACACCCTGTGAGGTAGGCGGGACTGAGAGAGCTCTTTCGAAAACTGCTCGTAAGAGAACAGCTGTGCCAGGACTATGGCTTGCCCAAGGTCATCCAACATATATTGAGATATATGTCAGAGTGATAGAGGTAGCAAGCAGTTACTATAGATCAGTTTGATCTGTTTGTCAGACCTAGCTGTCATGCTAGTAATCATGTAATTACAGCCAGGTGTTTTCTAGCAGGTGTTGTTCTTTCAGGTCTTGTTAGAGTTAGTGATTACATCACCTTGTTAGAGATTGGCTGGGGTTTAGCATAATAGCTATCAGCTTAGTAAGATGGATGGGGACTCAGTTCTCATAGACCAAGGCACGACATGCTGTTCAATAAGCCTGTAAATATCTCTGTATATATTCACCTTTATAACTATATAAATTCTCTGTGCATCTTCATAACTGGCTCATCTAGTCCAGCATCCTGTCTCACACAGCGGCCACCCAGTTCCTCTGGAGGACCAGCAACAGGGCAGAGAGGCCGAGGCCTTCATAAGAACATCCGAAGAGCCCTGCTGGATCAGACCAGTGGCTCATCTAGTCCAGCATCCTGTCTCACACAGCGGCCAACCAGTTCCTCTGGAGGGCCAGCAACAGGGCAGAGAGGCCGAGTCCTTCATAAGAACATCAGAAGAGCCCTGCTGGATCAGACCAGTGGTCCATCTAGTCTAACATCATGTCTCACACAGCAGCCAACCAGTTCCTCTGGAGGGCCAGCAACAGGGCAGAGAGGCCGAGTCCTTCATAAGAACATCAGAAGAGCCCTGCTGGATCAGACCAGTGGTCCATCTAGTCCAGCATCCTGTCTCACACAGTGGCCAATCAGTTCCTCTGGAGGGCCAACAACAGGGCACAGAGGCTGAGGCCTTCATAAGAACATCAGAAGAGCCCTGCTGGATCAGACCAGTGAGGGTCCATCTAGTCCAGCATCCTGTCTCACACAGTGGCCAATCAGTTCCTCTGGAGGACCAGGAACAGGGCAGAGAGGCCGAGGCCTTCATAAGAACATCAGAAGAGCCCTGTTGGATCAGACCAGTGGTCCATCTAGTCCAGCATCCTGTCTCACGCAGTGGCCAGCCAGTTCCTCTGGAGGGCCAGCAACAGCGCAGGGAGGTCGAGGCCTTCCCCTGATGTTGCCTCCCAGCTCTGGGATTCAGAGGGTTAGTATTATTCAGAACTGTCGCTCTCACTAAATATTCAAAGGAGTTTTTTTTTTCCATTTTGCATTTGTCTGCCTGCATTGCTGTCTGTTAAATCATTTTCTTTGTTTCCTTCCAGACAAAGACTGAAACATTCAAAGAGATTTGATGGCATTGCAAGAAAAGCTAGGATCCTGGGACTGGGCTGTAGGCGCCCCCTAGTACAGCGTACTTCACAGGCAGAACATGGCTTGCCTCCTGTTGGAGTGAGTGACTTGGCATGCCTGGGCATTAGGGCTGCCAAATCCCCCCGGGGGGTGGAAATCCCCCTGCCCCAGAGGCTCATTCCCCGATGCCGGGGAATCGGGCCCCGGGGGGAACCCTGCCCCAGTGTGCATGCCTCTTTTTGTCTTAACCTGGGAGCTGCCCTCTCACTCCTCCTCCTCTCTCCCTTTCTCCTCTCACTCACTTCACATGGCCTTCCATGAAGACATGCATCTGTAGATACTCTCCTGTAGGTGCAATGCCCTCATACCTCCACATACATGATCTTGGGGAAATACTCTGTAGATTAAGCTTCTTTCTCTTCTTTCGTCTGCAACCTGAATGTGAACCGAATCTCCTCGGATAAATGCAAGTTTACCTTTTTTTCCCAATATACTTCTTGGGACATTTATTTACTCCACTCAGGATCACACTTCTATAACTGGGCAAACTCTGCTATATGAACCAACTATCCCAATAGCTCCAAATAATCACCCTCTGGCAAGAGGCAACGGACTGTTTTCAGAACCCAATGTCCTTTATTGTGAACGCTCACGGGGCGAAGACGAGACTGGCAATTTTTTTTTTTTAATTCTTAGTTTGCGAGATAAATTTCCTTCAGCAACCAATGCTTTTATTTGATATTTCTATTAAAAGAACAATGCTACAGCGTTGCTAGGCATTTGTTATCTGGTACCCGTGGGCTGCATGGAAGGTGTATGCAGGTTATACGGTGCCTTCAACTAGCTCTTAGGGAAACGGCTGATGTCTCTGGCAGTTGGCCCCTTCGTGGAGAAAAAGCTACTGTACATAGAAATCACAAAAGTATTTTTCGACATGGATACAGTAGACGAAGTGGACTGTAGCAGATGCCTAGAATGCTATCCTTTCTGCATAGCAACGCTTCCTTTCAGTGGCTGCCCAATCTGTTTTGCCGAGGCGTTTCAGGAATGGTAACAGCAACCAAACAAGGCCGTCACTGGCTGGATGGCATCGGGAGTTTGAAATGTCAGGTTCCTGTCTGCTGCCATTTGGACAAAGCAAATGGGCTGGGGGAAGCCAATTTTCTAGCACTGCTGAAATTTAATGGGCACAAACCTTATTAGCATCTTGACAGAAGACAGTTAGGAGCCCCCGTGATAAGCTGCTGGATGTTTCAAGGAAAGTGTAATTATGCACCGTACAACTAGGGTTGCCGTACAGTGCCTGGCAACTGGTGGTAGTGGGGTTGTGGGTAGGGAAATGGGGTCTGCGATATCATCTTTGCTGCAAACTCACTTCCAGGGAAAAACCTGAAAGTGATGTAGGGTAGCTCTAGGAATCACCGGAAACTCTATGGTTTTACCATTACCACAATTATGCATCGTACAACTAGGGTTGCTGTGCAGTGCCGGGCAACTGGTGTGTGGGGGTTGTGGGTAGGGAAATGGGGTGTGCAATATCATCTTTGCTGTGAATTCACTTCCAGAGAAAAACCTGGAAGTGATGTAAGGTAGCTCTAGGAAGCACCGGAAACTCTATGGTTTTACCATAGAGTTTCGGGCGATTCCTAGAGCTACCCTATATCACTTCCAGATTTTCACCTAGGAGTAAGACACAGAGAGGGGAAAACAAACTAGAGTTTTCCCCTCAGATGGCTGTGGCCCCGCCCCCAGCGTGCCCGGCGTCAGCACGTCACATCCGGTTGACGTGCACGCCGGGGTGGGGTTTTCCCCGGGGCCCAATTCCGTGGCGGCAGAAATCGGGCCTCCAAAGCGGGGGGAAATCTGCCCCCCGGGGGGAATTGGCAGCCCTAAGAGTAATGTGAAAACATATTGGCACTGTAAAGCTAAGAAAAATATAAAATACTATGTCTTAAGTTTACAAGTATATGGGATTTTGAAAGCTAAAAAGGTGAAGGAATATCTTAAAGGGACCAAACTGTTATTATACAAGAAATATGTGCCCAAATTAGGACTGTTAAACTGTTGAAACACCTGTTTCTTTCCCTTTCTATTTTTATGATTATAAAACTAATTAATAATAGGGCAGCATAGATAAAATGAAATATAGCAGATAGGATATAGAAAAATGAACTATATATGGGGAACATAATTTTGATTAATGATATTTGTTGTGGAATATAACATTAAACAAGGAGGGAAAAAGAACTATGCATCTAAAGATATTGCTCTTTCTGTTGTTTTGTTTTATGTAATCCTTAAAAACTAATAAACTTTGCCCATTTGG